TGCGGCGTGTCTTAGGACGCCACCTCAGTAATCTCCCTGTCTGCCCGATATCACACGAGTCACACTCAGCACAAGGATGACGTTAACTTGTTCCAAAAGGTACAAGGTTGTTTTAGTTTTAGAAAACAAATTTTTGACCATCTTGGCATTCTTATCAGCAATTTTAACCGAAATATTATTGTGTTTATACAGTTTAATAAGTTTTTCAGTAACATTAGGAAAATATGGTAAAGAAGAGTAATGGGTAGTTGGATATTAGAAAAATTTATCATGCATTTATATTGCAACCTCGATGCCCATGCACTCTGTAGAGCCACACAAGATCGAGAGGAGTATGCCAGAATTGTCGCCAACATCCACTAATTGGATAATGCACCATAAAGAAGAAGAATATTGGAGAACTAGGCTTTATCAGTTTTTTACTTTAATATTGTCTCCTACGGTGTGTTTTTGTATACATTTTCACATTTAAATAAAATCAAATGCAATTTTTCTTTTGTGTACTTAAACTATAATTACTATTCAACTAATATTTGATTAATTCATTTATCAATGATAATTAAAAAAATAAAGAATTTTTTGATGAAATAGTTTAATAAAATATTAAATGAATTTTTTTTTATTCAGTTTAATGCGTCGACAACTAATGGTCATTGGCATGGTACAGTGAATTTTTACAGTCAGGTACCTAGTCTAGAGTGTAGTGTGTGTAGAGTCATTGTCTTGATACTTAGAAAAGTCGACGTCATTGTCTTTGCTAAGAGACGCTAATTGTATCCGAACGTCTGCGGTCCCTCCGGTTAGTACCGATCGCACAAGGATAGAAATTATTTTCGTTTATTAATTTTTAATAAACGAAAATTTCTCCACCTAGGTGAGATTCGAACTCACGACCTTTAGGTTCAAAGGGAGGCGCTCTTACCACTAAGCCACAGAGGGGGTTATTAAATGAATTTGATTCATGTAATTCTCATCAATTATTCAGTTCTAAAATATTATGAACCTTGGACTGTGGAAATTAAATTAAATCTGTACCTGTGGCTGGTTGACCAGCTACAACGTACTCACTTGTATTATGAATTATTATATAAAAAGATCGACCTCACTTGTTTGTCTCTCTTCGAGCCATTCCTTGAAAGTAAAATGGTGTTTCCTAACCATATGTTTCTTTCTGTATAAAGGTACATACAGACAAGGATTTTTTCTTACTATAGCATATCTTTAAATTTACCGCTCTAATGCATTAACAGTTGGTAATTCGCCTTGTGTTGTCATTGTTGGACTTCAAGGACACTGTTTTTCACGGGATGATTCGTGTGCTTTAAAAAATGTTCCATTTGCCGAGTATTTTGGAGAATTGTAGAAGCTTTTTGTGGTAACTTTTAATACATTTTTTACAAGATTACTACTGCAAACTTCGACACTACTTCGAGAACGAAAAGTTTAACGAATTTGTCCTTCTAGGCTATATATATATATATATATATATATATATATATATATATATATATATATATATATATATATATATATATATATATATACCGGTATAATATTCGTCACGCCCTTACGGTACGGTATGGATCTATAAAGGAGTATCACAAAGCCGCTAGCCCATGTATATAATTCAAGTAAATAAATATGACGAAACATTATTCGAAATGTTTGTCTCCGTATTGTATTAAGTAATCTACCATTACATTTTCAGATAAAAACAATTTTTAAAACAAATCATCGTCTGTCGTGGATGTGTACTGATCATAATCTGTAATAAATACATTATAGATACGATATATTTAAAGTGACGCTGATAGTTATCTTATACGTCTAACTGATAATTACACAAAATGTAGGGGAGAATTCTGGCTTTAGAGTCCAATCCTTTAAGCCATAAATAAAATTTGTATACATATGGAAAGTAATTGATTCATTAACCGTTAATGTAGATTTGGGATTTATCAAGTATATTTACAAAGAAAAAATACATCTTACGTAAATTTAATAGATAATAACAGAAAATTATTCTCAAAAAATACATCAAGCAAGGAAAAGACATTCCCAATTTGGATTCCACACGGATTCATATTAGACCGTTTTCTTTTCTTATTAAACTCAACGAAAAATTTGTTTAGTGTCGATCGTTCGATTGTTTAGTATCGGCTACTGAAAGAAAGGCCTTAGCTGCCTATTATACAAACCAACTAACGTTTGGAATAAGAGATGTAGAGCCGTCACTTTATGTCGCAAACGTAGCGATGCACAAAAAACGCCAGCAGCTGGAGTTTAGTGTAGAAGGCAGTGTCAGTGTTTGGTTACGTTACTGTAACGTTTAGTTATATATTTGTGTTTATTTAAATTGCAAAAATATGAGTGGATTTTGAAGTAGATGAAGTAGATGGAAAAATTTAAAGTCGCTTTGAGAAAAATAGAAGAACAAGATTTAATGTTTTTAGTAAGAGCGATTATTGTGGCCTCGTTATTTCTGAGAAGAAAGGTAAGATTTTTAGTTTATTATGTTTAGAAAGATATATTGGTTAAACTTTTAATGACATTTTAGATGATGGTGGTGATTACATGAGGCTAGAGACCAATACTAGTTTAACTGGGATTATTTTAAAAGAAAGTGTAGAATATTCACTAGATTCATATGAGAAGCACTTTGTGCCAGAGCCTGGCTATAATTTTAAATTTAAATTGTTGCATAACCTAACTGGCAGAACTCGACTTATAAGCTAAATGTCATTTTGGTTACAGAGCAACACTGCAACTAACAAGCTGGTTATTGAAATATGTTGAAAGCGCTGAGGATGAAACAATAACTATTCACGAATTAACTTCTCCATCAATATCTGCACAACTAGGGCAAAACACAAACTCAAGCAGTACAGACGGAATACGATTTTCATAAGGTTGGTGATATTAATATAAAAATACTTGAGTGTGGATATATTTTATTAGTGACATGATTGATCAAGCTTATAAGCCGGTAGTCATCACAAATCTGGGCATTTGGTTTCTTTGGAATTGTAATAAATGTTGACTCTAGCCAGTTCTCCGGGATTTTACCGCTATTATACATGTTAAAAAGTACAACTGGATTATCAAGGAACTGTTTGATTTACATAGGATCTTTAATATTTCGCAGGGTACATTGTCCGGACCTGCTGACTTATTGTTTTTTAGTGCTGCAATGGCATCTTCTATCTATTATCGATTTAAGGATTGAAGGTCCTGTTTCTCCTTCTCCATATAGGTGATCATCAGTCCTGTCAGATGCAAATAATTTTTCTATGTATGATTTCCATGTTTTTAAGATCGTTGATGGTTCCGAGATAAGATTTCCATCGCTATCTTTTATGCTGTTGGGTGACTTATTGAATTTCCTCTTGTTTGCCATCGATTTTATTTTTTTGTGCATATTGTAACTGTCGTATTTTCGTTCGTATTGTTCTATTTCCCTGCATTCGTTGGAAAACCATTTTTCTTTGGCTTCTCGAATTTTCGTTCTTATGGTTTTGTGGATCTGCTGGTATTTTTCTGCATTTTTATTCTTGAATACACATCAAAACACCCCTATGAGAATTCAGCTAGACAGAGATTTGCAAACTCCATTAATTAGAATTTGTAAAGGTGACAGACAAGGGGATACAATCTCACCCAAACTATTTACTCTGGCGAGTGGAAGACATTTTTAAATCTATAGACTGGGACAATTAAGGGATTTGTATAAAGGGGAAATATTTAAATCATCTAAGATTCGCCGATGATGTACTACTGGTAGCAACAGCTAAGGAACAACTACGAATAACGATTTCAGACCTATAAAAAACATCTCTTGAGAAAGGATTAAAAATGAGTGTATAGAAAACTAAAATAATGACTAATACAGAAGACAGATCAGTAATTACCTTAGGTGGAACAAACATAGAACACGTCCAAGAATATATTTACTTAGGACAAGCTATCAGAGCAGACTAAAAAAATAACCAGAAGAATAAATAAAAAAAACTTTGTTTAATAATATTATTTTCAGAAACCTTTTCTGTAAGTGCAATAACACGTAAGTATTCACACTTGGGATCAAATGACACAAGTCACGAATTTCATGTTTGATATATTCTATATTTCATTGATAATAAAAAATTTGGAAAATGTTCTATATTAGTATAAGACAGTTACATAGATAATTATCTTCTTCTTCTAGTTCCATGACCGTTATCGATCGTTGGATATCATGTTGGCTACCATATTCGCTATCGTGACTTTATTGACAGCAGCTCTAAATAACGACGTAGTTGATTTTCCATACCATTGCCTTAGATTTTTCAGCCATGATGTTCTTCTTCTACCAGGACCACGATTACCTTGGATCTTTCCCTGAATAATCAGATGTAAAAGATCATATTTTTCAGGGTGTCTCAAAATATGACCGAAATATTCCAGCTTGCGTTTCTTTATTATATTGACCAGTTGTGTTGTTTAGATAGATAATTATAAAAACAACAATTAAAACTAATTAAAGTAAGTAACACGTAATTGTGGACTATAAAACGGATTTAGAGGTACCCGGCGAATTTTGAAAAATAGTAGGCCCTTTAGCTTAATATTGGTCTAAAGTACTGTTGAGGCTTATTACGTAGAAGATAGTGAACAAAATTAAATAAAAAAGTATATGTCGAGTAGCCAATCGATATGCGAATTATAATACGCACTAAAATTAAAATCGAGGAAGGAATCAGAATGACAAGAAAACATCATTCATCCTAAATCCTCCTGGATTCTGTTAGCGTGCGCCTCAAAAAAATTGATTGGTTGGGATAAAAAATACATAAAGGGAGCTTAACGATTTTCGTCAGTGGAGATGATAACGATTTAATATTAAATAACCTTCATATTTAGGGCAATTTCATCATATAAGTTTAGAAATTTCCCAATTATTTTGAACCCAGTAAAATTTAATTGCACGTTTTTGCTAAAGTTTGAAAAATGAAAATATTTACCTATATTTTCTTAAATAACACAACCAAAAACAACACTACACACACGCACCTATTATTTACCCTAACAACTGATTTTATTATATATCGACAAGGTACTTTATACCGGCAAATATTTCTTATCGCATACTTTTAGTTAAATACTGTTATCTCTAGTGTTATCACTTCAAATAAAACTTTTGGGAGGTGAATATATTATTTGAACCACTGGAAAACATTATACTGACAGAATACATGAAAAGATAATATGTAGTTTTCTGATATAGTGCCTATCCGTTGCGGATGTTGACGATCATCATGACAATCGCCTTCCTGGTTATAGTTTTCCTTCTACTTTTCCCTGTAGAATTAACTGCAGCAATCCATATCTTTTGCTGTTCCTCATGATGTGAGCGAGGTATTCAATTTTGGCAGTTTTTATTGTGGTTAAGAACTCTTTTCCTTTTTCCTCCTCCTAAGTGCCTTCTCTATTGAGGTTGGCGATCAATATGGCAAATTACTCTCTGTTCTGGGCTTGATGGATTAAGTCATTTCCTGTTGTGTGAGTCCAATTTCTGATGTTTCGGACCCAGGATTTCTTCTTTCTTCCTATACCCCTTTTACCCTCGATTTTGCCTTCTAATATTACCTGGAGCTGCTCAAATTCCTTATGGTGCATTATGTGTCCTAGATATGACGTCCTTCTAATTTTGATTGTATTAACCAGATGAGGTCGTGTGTTCATTATTTCCAGTACCTCTTCATTTGTAGTTTTGCTGGTCCAGCTTATTCTTAGCATTCGGCGGTACATCCACATTTCGAATGAGTTCAGTTTGTTGACGTCATACTGTTTTAATGTCCAGGTCTCACAGCCATATAGTAGTAGAGACCACACATATTTATCACTTTAGTGTTCTTAACCTTATTGTGATTGATAGCTTGGGGTTACAGAGCATTTTACGCATGTTCATGAAGCCAGATCTTGCTATTTCAATACGTCTTCTAATTTCTTTTGAGTGGTCTAGCTGACTGTTTAGCTCTCTGCCCAGGTATATGAATCTTTGGGAGCTCTGAAGGGTGATACCATTGATTTGTATGTTGGGTGTAATTTGTTCATGGGGGTTCTTGTGGAATACCATGATTTTGGTTTTGGAAAGATTAATATCCAAACCTAGTCTGTGACTTCTTTCTTCTGATAGTATGTTCATCAATATTTTTAGTTGGTCTTCTGTTTCTGCTAATACTACGGTGTCATCGGCATATCTTACATTGTTAATGATGATTCCATGGACTCTGGCACCTTCAGGGCGATCTTCAAGAGAAGCTCTGATGATATTTTCGGCATAGACATTAAATAGAAGAGGGGACAGAATGCACCCTGGATGCACTCCTCGTTCTATATTTACATAATTGGTATTTCCGTTGTCTGTTCGAACACATCCTGTGTGGTTCCAGTATGTATTGCTTATTATAGCTATGTCGTGTCCGTCCAGCCCTACTTCTTTTAGCACCTCAATCAATTTTTCGTGTCTAATGCGGTCGAAGGCCTTTCTATAATCGACAAAGCATACATACAGCTGTTTTTGAACCTCGAGATACCTTTCTGCCATTAGTGTCAATCCCATTATTGCTTCTCTGGTGCCTGTACCTTTCCTAAAACCATATTGAGAACGACTCAGGTATTCTTCACACTTATTGTGAATGCCGTTATAAATTACTCGCCTAAAAATCTTAGCAGCATGACTCATTAGGGATATAGTTCGATGGTCTTTACATTTCCTTGCTTTTTGTTTTCCTTTTTGCATTCCCAATAAAACATACTGATTTGTAATGGGGTCGGTATACGATATCTTTAGGATTCTACGATAAAGCCACATTTCAAAAGCCTCAATTTTCCTACAGGTAGCGTCTGTGAGAGTTCATGATTCAACTATGTACAACAGCATAGGAAAGATATAACATATTTCAGATACATCGTGACATTTGAATAGTTCAGCCATTTTTTGAAATTCAGATCTTGCTTTCTCTATCCTAGATTTTATTTCTAGGGAATGGTCCCGATTTTTATTGACGTTGGTAACAAGGTATGTTTTTACTCTTTATATTGGTTGACCACTCACACTGATTCTTTCAATTTGCTGTTCCTTCTTACAGATCATCATACATTTTGTTTTGTTATACATACATGCATATCTTTGACTCACTTCTGTGATTCTATTCATCAATTCTCTGTTAATTACATTTTCCATTAATTCTAATTCCGACTTCAACATCGGCTACTGCTTCTTGAAAGATTTCCTCAAAGTATATGTTAAACAGCAAGGGAGATAGTATACATCCCTGTTGGACCCGACGTTTGATTTTGATATCATCGGATTCTTCTGCCTCTGTAGGATAGACGATATTTATTCCAGTACAGATTGCTATAAATTTTTAGATCACAGGAGTTTATTCCAATATTTGTTAATATCTCCATCAGCTTGTCGTGTTTTACTGTATCAAATGCTTTATGGTAATCAATGAAACATGTATAAATTTTGCAATTCACATCTCTACATCGTTGGAATAGCACTTGTATGCTAAAGAGAGACTCTCTCGTGCCCACTGCGTTCCGAAAACCAAACTGTGTACAGCTGATTTTTTCTTCGTATAGTCTATATATAATTTGATGTATGATTTTTAGAAATAACTTTAAAATGTGGCTCATTAAGCTTAATCATTGCAGGATACGGATTTCGTTTTCTTTGGTAGACCAATAAACGTTGACTTCAACCATAATCTTGGTATTACTTCGTTTAATATATGAGGCCATTATTCGCAAAACTCTTAAAAAAACAATTTTTTTAAGTTTATTTCAATTTTAAATAGGAATCGAATGATATAATCAGAATTTCCCAAGACTCGTTCTTTAGCATACAAATGCTGTCGAGAAACTTACAGTTATTTGCAGAAATCTCTCTCTGCTTTGAACGTTTACCTGCAAAACTTGCTGTTTGCTCTACCTCCAATGAAATTGGCCAGTTCGTTCACGTGACGAACACGCTATTACAACAGCTGTGTTGAAGAAACGAATTTTCAGTAGTTTGTAATTATTCAAGCGAATAAATAGTTGTATTTTGGCGAATTAGGAACAGTTTTTTTATTGTTATGGAGTTATTAAGTGAAAATGGTTGTTCTGTTAAACCTAGTCCACAAGGAAAAGGACGCGAAAAAGTTCTTCAGTCAGAAGCACATAAAAGGAATGTAGATAAACTTGTTAGGTAAGTACTTCATATTAAAATTTATAATTTTAGACTTGTGCGACAATCTTTTGATTTTTATGGAGTTTGGCTTTTTTTCGCGATTTAACGTTGAGTAGGGCTATACACAAAGTGTATTAAAAGAGTTGTATTGTTACAGAAATACACCAAAAGCACTGCCGGCCTTTCCAACTTGTGGTCATAATGGACGACCCGGATTGCCGTATTATTGTAACACACTCACGATGAAGCAAGTGATAGATTTCCATGCCTACCTTAATCAGTCAAAAGATAAAAGTAAACAAGACCTTCTGATATTGGCTTGTTGTAAGGGACAGAAACAGAAAAGAGGAAAATCTAATCATGCTGCAGTGTCGATAAAATACCATGTACGTTTGAGTGAGGGTAAGATGGTTAGAGTATGTGCCAACTCGTTTCTAGGAATCACAAATTTAAGCAAGGACCGCATACAAAGACTTGTAAGAAATTTTGTTATAACTGGGGAGCTACCAAGAGAACGTAGAGGTGGCAATAGAGTGGGTCCAAAAAATGATGAAAAAGGAAACTGCGTCAAAAAATTTATAGAATACATAACATGTACAGAATCCCATTACTGTAGAAGCAATACAAGCGTGAGGGTCTACTTGCCATGTGACTTGAATTTTAAGAAATTTTTCGGCCATTATCTTCAGAGAGTGCCTCAGCCTATACATGTGAAGCTTAGTTATTTTCGAAAGTATGTGAATGTTAACTACAACATCGCCTTTGGAACTCCGCTGACTGACTGTTACTCCATTTGCTTGATAACAAAGGAGCAGTTAAAAGTAGCAACTTCTTTAGCTGTTCGGCAAAAGTTAGACACTAAGCATCGTATTCATATCGTAAAAGCAAAGGCTTTTTTCAAACTCCTTAAAAATTACCAAACAACCAAACTCCAAAACCCAACACAACTTACTTTTCGTTCGACTGGCAAAAAAACTTAGCACTGCCTAGACTGCCTGATGAAGCAGCATATTTCAGCCAGCAAATAAACTATAATAATTTTACAATTGTTACTGGAACTTCTACCGATAAATTAAAACCAACAAACGTGTTCTCTTACGTGTGGACAGAAATTGACTCTAGAAAAGATTCTAATACAATAGCGTCAGCTTTGCAACATGCTCTAACGAATTTTGATTTTGATGTCGGCATAGAAACAGTACGTTTGTTCGCTGATGGTTGTGGCGGACAAAACAAAAATTCGAATATAATGGCAATGTTGTCTTATTGGCTTCTAGAAGAATCGCCGAATCATATAAAACAAATTGAATTAATTTTTCCGATCGTCGGTCATTCCTTTATTCCGCCTGATTGTATTTTCGGCCTTACAGAAAAAGACATTAAAAAAAGTTCTGCTATCGTGGTGACTACGACGATTTAATCAGAAAGCATTCCACTGTACGGAAAATCGGTATCGATTGGGATGTGTTTGATTGGAGGATACAAACTAAACAAGTTATTAAGCTGCCTAGTTCATGGCACTTTGAATTTAATAAGGCAAAGTAATAAGGCAAAGCGGTTCATTTTTTACAAAAGAGGCAACAATGTTCTAGTCCAAGGTGAACCCAATTATCGAAATGACGTTGGAAAACCTAAAAGCATCTGTAAGAAAAATTTTCCTGTTTGGTCAATGGCTTCTAAAAAGTTACCATTGGGAAAAGAGTTAAAGGGGGATAAAGGAACTATTAATAGTCTTCTTTCAAAACACTATGGAGAAAATTGGAGAAGCCTTCCTGAACTCGATTTTTACAATAAACACTTAAAAACAGATTCTACCTCACCAGAAGAAACCGTTGATGGTTT